TTGCCAAGGCAATCCTAAGCAAAAAGAACAAAGCTGGGGGCATCTTGCTACCTGACTTCAAACAATACTACAAGGCTACAGTAACCAAAACAGCATGATACTGGTACCAAAACAGAAATATAGACCAATGGAACAGAACAGACCCCTCAGAAATAACACCACACCTCTACAACCATCTGATCTTTGACAAACCTGACAAAAACAAGAAATGGGGAAAGGATTCCCTATTTAATAAATGGTACTGGGAAAACTGGCTAGCCTTATGTAGAAAGCTGAAACTCGATCCCTTCCTTACACCTTATACAATTATTATATTTTGAATTAACAAAAATTAATTCAAGATGGATTAAAGACTTAAATGTTAGACCTAAAACCATAAAAACCCTAGAAGAAAACCTAGGCAATACCATTTAGGACATAGGCATGGGCAAGGACTTCATGACTAAAACACCAAAAGCAATGGCAACAAAAGCGAAAACAGACAAATGGGATTCAATTAAACTAAATTGTTTATTTATTTAATCCTAAAATATCCCAAGAGAAATTCCAAAGCAATTCAGGGGCCCCATGTAAGTTCTCTAAACTCGATAGCCATGACTTATTTGAAGGATTTGGAAAAGGCTGTTCTTTATTTAATGCCATCACCAGAGCAAATCCAAGGAAGCCACAGAGCCACACACCAGCAGCGCACCCCTCCTGCCAAGGCTGGATAGGGAAGGGGACTCCATGGCCAGAGCCTGCGGCTTGTGGAAGTTCAAATCTGGCTGGGTCGTGTAGAGCTGATTTAATTCTTCCCTGCTAACCTCTCTAACTTTGTTTCCAGCCTTAGGCATGAACATGGCTGGGCCCAGCCTAGGTCAGGATGCTCCAGGAAGCCCCAGCGGCAGGGCCTCATGCCCACCCCAAAACCCACTCGGGAAACACTTTGTGCATTCAAACCAAAGAGAAATGCACTTCACAGGACGTCCAACGTGAGCACAGCATCGTCTCTCATAAAATGTTCGTTTTTAGTAAAGAGGTGAAAGCCACTGACAACACAGCCCTCAGGGATGGCCCAGGGGCTACACGGGGTGTAGGGGGGCTACGCTTGGCATGCAGCCCTCCTTAGAAACCCTCCTTCCTCTCCCCAGCCCCTGTGTCAGTCAAGATCCAACACACCCTCGAAAGCATTTCTGGACCTTCTGCATGGTGAGGTATCGCTCTTGGCTCAGCCAAGGCTGATGGCTGAGAGTCATGTGTGCTGTTCATCTACATGTCCGTGGAACTGTAGCCTCCCTATGGGCAGCACCCCCCAGTGTGACCATTGAAAATGTCTGCAGGCGGGACACAGGTCCCAGCACCCCCC